AGAAGAAGATGAACAAGAAAGAAATTAGTCATAAAAACGCAAGTTTCTTTTTACTAAATCGAAAGGAACGTCGAAGCCAAATTTAATTTTTGATGCGTCCTTTAGATTTTTACCCCCGCATTGACATTCCTGTTTCCTGGGACGTTGTCTGGATTGTTGCGATTATCGTTCTGAGCAACAATCGCCCAAGCTGAAAAAAAAAATCGCTGCGAAAGCACTGAAACAGAACAAGGTAAAGAAAAATGCACTTTTTACGATTTCTCGAAAAAAATTCCACCACAATCGAAGAGGTAAGGGCTGAGTGGTTGTCTGCATTATGAACAGAAGCAAGATCTATGGAATGCACGGAAAAACCGCGTGAAAAGAGTTGAACTAGGAGAAAAACAAGAGGTTTTCGAAAACAAGGTTTTTGCCGGATATCTCGATCAAATCAAAAAATGTGGTTTTGGGATTCGTCAGCGTGAAAATAGAGATCAAGAGCTTCAAAATGATGTATAGCTTGCTGAAATTGGGTTCGAAACAGCGAAGAAAAGAGTACCAGAGCCAAATGCCCCGCGCCCCGCGTTTGGGGTAGCGAGATAGCGCGCAGCGCGCGGAGACGCAGACGAGCAGCGGAGACAGACCAGAGCCGACGGGCATTTGGCTCTGGTCTAGATCTCCGCGGATTCTCAACGAAACCCTGCAACATTATTATTCCGATCGTCATGACACGACGAGGAGAACTGACAACGTCCCCAGTTTTGAAAATCACTCATTAACGAGATAGACCAGCGTTTTCGTGCGCGACTCTCTGCGCAAGAATTAAACTCAGTTTCTCGTTTTTGTTTAACTCCAACAGCTTTCTGAAACTTCTGAATCTCGATTTTGGTCAAATAAGAGGTTAACTGAGAAATGTTGTCCTGAATTCTGGCGAAAATTTTACAGAAACCTTATTTTTCACGTAAAAAAGGCTATGAAACGCAAATTCTCGGTTTCGCTCAGATAACCTAAAAATATTATTTCCTATATTTGCTTCATTGGCATTGTAATCCGCGCCATCAGCTGCCAATCGTCGAAACTCGAAAAATTCTCATATTTGAACGCCCATAACTCTTCCCAGATAATCGTTTGGCAGATAAAAAAAAACATATATTTGAAATTTGCGCTTCAAGATGAGTCCGATGACGTACAGTTTGAAATGACTGGGTTAGTTCTGACCTTCCTCGTAAGTATCTGACAAAGGAGGGATACTTGGTAGAAGTGGCTTCTACATATGAGATGTATACTGTCTTATAGAGCATTGGAACTATGATTTCAAATTTGCTTCGGTATCTGCAAAGTGCTTGGAGTGGAGTTATGGCGAATTTTTATGCAAAAATTTGAAACCTTCGCTATAATAAAATCATTCAGAACTTGAGCCCGTGAGCTCAGATGAGACCATAATTACTACCGGGGCGTTTTATACAATATCTCTAGTCTGAGAAACTCATGTCAGTCATTACTCTTTCCAGTGCCAAAGATCTCAACTTTTGTTTCACCTTGGCCAACATTGAATTTTTACCTCAAAAAAGTCCCAGAACTCCACTCCCAAAAGCGCTTTGCAGATATCGAAAGCAAATCTGAAATCAGTTCCATGCTCTAAAAGACAGTATACATCCCATATGAAGACGCCACTTCAAACAAGATGCCTCCCTTGTAAGTAAGTAAGGTATTCTCAAGGTTGCTCTCTACAGTAATGATTGCGAAGTCAAACGTGGATTGCAAGAAAATCCGGAACTAAAGTTTGAGTTTGCATCGGACTTCAAGGTGAGAGCAGCATTTCGAATGATTTTCAATTGGAAGTTGACAGGCGCCAGACTAGCCGATCGTCTGCTTCAGCGGATCGCCGCGCAGTTATGTCATTTGGTATCACGTAGGACTAAAACTGGAACATCGCAAACTCGCGATTTTCCACGTGACGCCAAATGGTCAATTAACGCCGCGTTCTACTAAAGTAGGATGATAGCCTAATGGCGCCTATCTTATGATAAAACTTCTCAGTTCAGCATCCGTGCAATATCCTACAATATCATGGATTATTTCTAGAACTAGAACGACAGTGCCTCTAGCAAAATTGCATCACGCGTATTTGAGGGGCTGTCAGACTGTCATGGTGAAGTTAAGATAAACAGAGTGGTCATGTGCGATGTTCTGCGCGCGACATGACCTAACGTTTGGATTCATGTAAGATGGAAAGAACAAAGCTAAAATTTTGCTTTTGGGCACAACGAAAAGAAGCGAAATAGTTGAAGAAGAAATAACGCGTGCTAAAGGATATTCGTCGACGACTGCCCCGACTCGTGCAATTACACCACCGTGGGCGCGCCTTTTTGGAGCCTTTCCCAGCTCGACAGTACATGCAGCGCGCTGGGACTCAGTAGCTCGCAGCAACACTGTCCTTTAACCTTTCTTTCTTAATTTGAGCATTTCATATCGTTTTATGTTCTTACTTTTTATATTTAGGTAGTAATTCGTTTTCCCTTTCTTTCAGTTGCTCTTGATGATCAAATATCCTACGTTCTACTTCATTAAATACTGAAAGGTAAGGGAAAAACTACCTTGGGCACATTTCCTGAATTATTCCCCCGTTTTACGTATGAAACATTCATTTTCAAAGTCGTGAATCATGGCCCCGGGTAAAGTTATGTGGAAACATGTGCTTTGTTCATGAGTAATAGTGGCTATCATGCATTTTCTTACATGGTATCACTCAAATGTTTAGTTCCCACATGGTGTACCTGCTATAAGAGTGCTGGAGCAACCATTTCAATGGTCTGTCCTAAGAAACATGTCAAATCATTGTAAAACATCGAAGAAAACATACAGTTCTAATCATGCCTTTATAGTCACCACTGCAACTACGAAGAAAGCTCATCTTTCTTCTAACTTTGCTTGCGGCGATGGTCTCACATAGTTATTAAAGTGTGTAACTGCCTGAAACGAAAAATAAGAAAAAAAAACGATGTGAAAAGTCTAAGAGACGAAAGAGGTTAAAGGACAAGGATGCTCCGAGCTCTCAGGTCCCCGCGTGCTGCAGCGTACTGTCGAGCTGGGAAAGGCTCCAAAAAGGCGCGCCCACGATGGTGTAATTGCACGAGTCGGGGCAGTCGTCGACGAATATCCTTTACGGATTCAAAGGGTTACTTCAGACTGAGGAACACAAGAAGGATTAGTCCCATGGAACCTAACTCGATATCTTCCATAGCAATGCTTTCAGGTTATAAATACAAATGAGATAAAATCATACAAATGAAATAAAATCAATCTAAGGCTGGGTTCATTCATACTAATTCGTTAGTTCTAGAACAGTACCAGCACAGCGCTCGTGTGGACTTACGGCCCAGAATGAACTCAGCCTATGAGCTGCGAACATTATGACCCAAAATTTCCCATGCAGTTGCGAGATATGAAAAAATCAGATATAGTGTGGACCCCGGCCAGCTTCGCATATGTACCTGCGCGACGCACCCGCAACGCACGCCTTCAGTGCGTCTTCTGTCCTAGCTTCTGATGGAAATCCTCCTTTCTCTTTTTTTTGTTTTTGGTGTACTATATTCTCCTCTATTTTAGGTATAAACAATTCGCGATGACCGGTGACGAGATTTCACGTGCTCTAATAGTTCTACGAGCTTCAGTCTTGTATAGTAGTCTTGTGTTTTCCTTTTTTTCTCTGAAAAACTGAGATTTGATTGGATATTGGGATAATATTTTTTCAGAAGCTTCTTTTATAAAATAAGAGTCCCTTTCGGTTTGATGTGTAAGTTGTAGACAGTGTCTCAAGTCTAAATTGAGCTTTCCGAGAAGCCAATAGGCATTTGTTTACTGAAATATCCTTTTTTTGGAATCTTTGACCACTCTAGTTTCTACGTTTACGAAGAGAAACGTCTTAAGGATGCTGTTGTTCTTTAATTTTTCTACGTATAGTTATCACAACCTATCCATCAGTACAAGTTCGGAATATGCATCCATTGATTGAATTTGAGGTATTCATGGAAGTTGCCTGCGTTTCATTCTTGCATACGTCTCTTTCGAAGGGAACCTAGAGGTTTCCACTTTACATCGTTCTCCTTTGTGAGCATAAATATGCTCTACTGCTCATGAGTGAGGCAAGAGACATTGAGAAGGGCGCGCGCTGTGTGTGCGCTGCGGAAGTACCTATGGGAACCTAGCCGGGGTCCACACTATATATGCAACTAGCTGGCTTACCCGGCTCCGCCGTATGTTCCGAATAGAAAATTCCATTTCTTAACCGATCCGGACCAAACTTGGCACACATACCCTTCGGGCCCCGGCGGGTGTCACAGTCCACTTTTTGTTATCGATCGATGTCGATGTTGCTGATCACCCCCACGGGGGTGATCAGCATGCTCGATTACCCCCCTCTGCCAACTCCCAGCCCCGTAGCTCAAATTTTGCAAAAAATCGATAAAATCGATATCGATCGATACGAAAAGTAGCATATGACACCCGCCGGGGCCCGAAGTGTATGTGTGCCAAGTTTGGTCCCGATCGGTTCAGAAATGGAATTTTCTATTCAGAACATACGTACACACAGACAGACATACATACAAACAGACATTCAGCTTTATATATAAGATGCGGTACGAAGCCAAAATAAGTAAATTTACTTGGTTAACACGTACAGGCCCCGTAAAATCCAATTGCCCACGCGTCCCTTTGAACACCAACGCGCGGCGCGGCTGGAAACGTTTGGTCCCGAAGCGCTACAGGCTTTTTGCAAGCAACAATGAGCGCGCACCCTTTCCACACATATTTTTTTTAACTTTTGAAGGGAGCTTTCGTCAAGTTATACCTTGCATTTACGAGAACAACAAGAAAGTCAAAGAAAGATTTCCTGAAATATAGTGAACGCCAAGAGTCGTTCGCGACGACCGCTCGCTTACGTTGGTGTTCAAGGCACGCCGCGGGCAATTAGGTTTTACGGCGCCTATACAGGAGATCATCAGCAAGCAAAACTCAACCTTCTTCCAAGCTGTGTACAATTCCGAGTGGACTGGATAAACGCCATCATGTTGAGGGGCTATCGCGTAAGGATATCTCACAGGTAGACGCATGTTCTGCACAAGAGTAAGAGTAATGGATTAAGTATATCGCCAAACGTGGCGTGCATTATATCACCTGTGCAAACATCAAATTCTGCGCCATCGTAGCCTCTAAATAAGTTAAGTTGTGCTCATGAGCGTGATTATGACGCCACATATGAGGAAACCAGATGAAATGATCTGCTAGTTCTGCAAAAGACATCATAAACGACTCTCATGAATGTAGACGTTCACCCACCAATGAGCAATTCATCTCCTTTATCCTCATTGTCGTCCCCGTTTCGAAAATAACCGCCGGAGAATCCAAGCATGTAGGTAAAATTAGAGATGAAGCGACGCATAGCATTCTGACTTTCTAGTAGAGCTCTTCAAGTAATTTGCTAATGTAATCAAACAAGCTATCTGGTGTCCTACCTGACATCACTTTCCACCATCCTCGTACCGCGTGCCCCAACAAATATGTCATCAATATCAATTTGTAAATAACGATCCAAACTCCAGCCGATGTTGCCACCTGATGAGTACCACAGAATGTCTAAGTAAGTCATCTGAAATAACAGATTACAGAAAAGAAGCCAAAACTGAAGATGAGCATATAGGCTGGGTTCCTACTTCTGTAAGTTCCGGGGCAGCTCCAGTAACGCTCAAATTGTGCGCTGTACTGGAAGTTCTCCGGAACTTACGAAACAGTATGAATCCAGCCTCGAGCAAGAGTGTCGCATGCGATCGCCGGATACGCATTGTTATTTAAAATGTAGATGTCGAATCCGACTATAACTATTACTGTGAATACTACAAGAATTGAGCTATCGAACCATGTATATGATAGGTACTAATCCACATTAGCTGACCCAAAAATTGAAAATCGTGAATTTCGCTAAAACTTTGTCTAGAGCGGTTATTTGGTATCTAAACACAAATATGGTGTTTATTTCGTGCGACAGCGTCATCCGATGGAGTTACGGTAGGACTACGGTAAAGGGTCAAAATTACGGATTTGCCCGAAACTTGGCCCAGAGGGGTTATTCGGCCCGCTGATGCCAAATATCGCATTAATTTTGAATCGTAGCGTCATTTTTTCGGGTTGCGGTAGCTATACGGTAACGGGCGTAAAACATAGTTCTGCCTGAAACGGGTGTACGGCGATTCGGACGATCGTGAGGCTTTGCACACACGACCACCGCCGCGCGCTACAGACCCTGCTGCGGCTTTTGCCTAAGCAAAGAACAAGGGAAAGATACATTTGCCGATTTGAGATCTGACCCCTACCGCATACCTACCGTAACCTGAGAAAACGACGCTACGGTACAAACCAATGTGATATTCAGCACAGCGGGCCGAATAACCCCTCTAGACGAAGTTTCGGGCAAATCCGTAATTTTGACCCCCTACCGTAATCCGGCGCCATCTAAATCTACTTAACCGGCTGCGCGGGCAGTCGCGCGCGCGCCATCGCTGCGTGCCGGAACCAAGGGCTTGGCATGCTGCTTGGATATTTGAGGAGCTGTTGCGAGGTATAAGTGATTTTCGCTTCGATACGATGATTATCTGTTGCTCATAGCTTCACTGCTATTGGCACAAAACATTTTCAGGTATGGATGGGTGAGGAAACTGCGTAAAACAGGTGCGCATTGGAATACTCGCAATGTGATACTTCCTTCCTTCAAAAATCAAAACCTTTCCCAAAACAAGATCAGCACCGCACTCGTGACCGTTTTCGTCGAATGTACCACTAGTTCAGGGAAATGGAAGTTGCTATTGGAATCTTCCACTGTTCTGAGTGTCTGTTCTGAGTAGGAGCTGTGAAAACTCTGCATGTAATACAACCTCTTTGTATACCAAGTTTCGTCAAAACATGTTCTCTTGCATGATGAAAACTGATTCAAAAAGGAATTCTGGGTCAGTTAGTATCTATCCTTAACTCTTCTTAAGCTTTGGCCTTTACATCGTCAGTGAGTCTTCGTGAGGATGATATCATTCATCGTAGATTTGAAGATTCTGGAATAACTATTACACGTTGATTCCATGCTACCTCGTCTTGGATGACTGACTGTTTGGCTTAGAAAGAAGAAATTGATCTTGTCAGACAACATGAGTTGTCAAGTTTCCTATCCTAGTTTTTTCTTTCTCAACGTGATTCTGTTGAACAAGAAAATGCAAAACTGGGCTACAATATTGAGTGACGAGATCATGTTAGATATGGCTAATTTTGGCATTCAAGACTAGCTTTACAAATAATACTGCATCGAAGAGAAAAGAAACAAGTAAGCAAATTTCACATTCTCAAACTTTTCGAAAAACATTGAGGGTTAAGTAATATCAAGCAGAAACAGGGCATGTCGCGTACTGATCCTCATGTTCTCACAAACTTCCACACTGCTTTGTCTCTAGCAAGTTTATGACTAGACATACGTGTGACTGATATCAAAGCGTTTTAAGTGGGATAACGATGTGAAGAATGTATGGTTCATTTTTAAAATCGTGACGACGAGTTGACTGCGGTCTTTCCGCACACAGAAGGATAAAACGCCCATACAAACAGGCAACACCTCAACGCCAAGCTTAGTCACTTCCAGTATCTGAACACTATCATATGTAAGCGGAAAAACTATTTGAGTAGAGAGAGAAATCAAGGATTGGGAGTGCGTGCGTGTTGCGCGCGTCGCGCCATCGTCACGATTTTTCAAATGACCCATAAGTGTATATATACGTATACCTTATTGGGAAGAAAGCTCTCAACATCCTATCACCAAAAATACCATACGTGCAGTCTCAAAGTTGGCACGCCTATAACTTAGACAAACAGCGAAGGCGCACCTGCTATACATTGCAACAGTTTCTCGGTTTCTCACCATCAATGCTAGCAGGAAGCCGACGCTGGTCACGGCACGCAGTGATGGCACGCGCGCGACCGCCCGCGCAGCCGGTTAAGTAGATTTAGATGGCGCCCCGTAATCCTAGCGTAACTCCACCGGATGGCGCTATCGCACGAAATAAACATCATATTCGTGTTCAGTGTACCAAATAACCTCTCTAGGCGAAGTTTTAGCGAAATTCACGATTTTCATTTTTTGGGTCAACTAATGTGGAATAGCGCCATATGATGTTCGTTAAGTTTCATGGAGGTGAGCTAATGGGGTGTGCCGCAGCCCCAAAAAAGCTGTGGCTGCCACATCTTGTGCCATCCCAGTACTACTTTCAAAGCACTCATACATCCAAGCTTTTCATATCGTTGACATCCCTAACCTTTCCTCTGTTCATAAACTATGGTTTTCATCCTACGACTTGGTATCCTTTCCTTATTAGATGATAGAGACAAGTAAAACTTGTCAACTAAACGATCGAGCTTATTTGTATATACAAATAATGCAAAGCATACTCGACCCTATCAATCTTAGATTGAGTGATCTTCAAAGCACGATGGAGATAATTACAATTACCAGCTTTTCAGCCAAAATAACAACAATGTATAGAAAGAAAAAATAAAGACCAAAATACCTTCATTGTCCAATCGGACACATTATGTCCGAAGAGGAAACGTTCTACTCCATCATCGCCCGAGACATGTACTACAGCAGCTCGTGGTCTACCAAAAGCATCTCTTGCGGATACGATCTAATTATCTGCTTAAATCGCAATTAGAAAAGATTGCCAAGTCTGTCACTCACCGTAGAATAAGTGGAAGACTCCTCAAATAAAGTCCAGCCTTTGACATTGATGTCACTTCTTTCCGCACCTACTCTGGAGATTCTGTGGATACTGGATTCGACCACCTTCAGAGATGCGACTTCCTGGTCTTGCCAGAAGCGAAGCTTTGTTCCTTTTATATCCAACTTTTGATATGTTGTGTTCAGATGCGTAACAAACGATACTAGCGACACGTTGAAGTCAGCGCAGTACTTGTCCAGTAAGCGTCGACTCCCTTTCGACAAACTAAGATACTTGTGATAATTTTCGATAATGATGACCGAATATTTGCCTTTGTTTACTGCGACAAGTGAAGGCAGACTTTTTGAAAGCGCCTCCGCTTCGAAAGGGTATTTCAAAGCGCCGAAAACTTGTTGCAGAAGACGACCATGACGTGAATAAGCACTTTCCAGCAGAATAAGGGCGCGGTCTTCAGTCAGATTTCCATGAAGTTTCGCAGCCGGCTGATTTGATGAGGTATTATTCAAGACAAAGGAGTTCGGGCATGTGTAAATGGGGAGATGTTGCGGTGGATAACGTTTAACTGCTATGTCTTCGCGAAAAGAGACGTTATAGATGAGAAGCACACAGGTGACGATGCTCAAGCTGAGCAGACACTTCAAGAACTTCAGCAACCGCCAATTGGAGTACGGCAGCATAGCAAGATTGACCACTCGTCAAGGCAAGAGCCATATTACATGTCAGGCAAGACTGAAAAAAGAAAATTGACATTTGTTACCGACAATCAGATCGTTGTCCTCACAGATAAAAGCGTTATGCACCAGATATTCAAAGAAGCCAAAATAGATATCAGTGTGGTGCAAGAGGAACGATACTAATTGCAAGCCGCTGGTGCCAATGCACTATTTGCCTTCACAATTCGCAGATTGTAAACTTATAAAAAGCAGTGCTTACTGCTCTATCTACTCAATTTACTCAATAATTCTTGCTTAAATCCCGGTGGTTGTGCAATTCGGTGATGTTCTTGCAGGAATAAGCTTTAAATACTTGAAGTTTTACCCTTGAAGCCCTTTTTTGACATTTTCAGCTAATTTTCGCACCTCATTTTTAAGCAAACACAATCTGTCCGATCCCCCTGTCTAGATGAAAGCATAAAAGAAGGGAGTCTCTAAATTTCTGTGTGCTGATAGACAAAAATGACGGCAAAGTATGCGCGAGTTGTTGAAACCCACCAGCTATCGTTCCTCTTGCTCGCCACCACAAAATATCGCTTATCTTAACTCAACATAGCAGAAGTTTGGCAAACACTCAGGCAACACAGAAAAACGAAAATGGCGGACAACTAATGAGCTGCAAACGCGTCCCTAGTCATTTAAAGGCGCGCGGATGGACGAATTCGAAACGCACAAGCGTACCTACCCTGATCGGCGAGGCGGCAGCGACGCGCAGTTTTCTCCGCCGAGCGCCACAGCGAGCACGAACTTGGTTTTTTACCTTTTTAAAACCTCAGATGCCATTCTTAGTACGCCTGTGTGTTCCGTTTTCGCTTTCAACAAAGCAATCACAGCTTTGTAATGATGGTGTCTAAAGGTACAGCGCACATCGATGGGTAATTTCGTCCCAAGAAGCTTTCTTCACAGTCTGAAATTTCTCCGAAATATCACGCAGTGGAGGCATCGTTATCCGAGGCTCAAATTCCCCCTAACGGATGTGACAAAATGTTACCTTTATCAATTTCAAAAGCCCAGGCAGACTGAAAAAAGACACTGATTTGCGAAATGCTTGCTCCATCCGCTGGTCAGCAATTTATTTTTGGGATCCTAATAAGAATGAGAATTAGGTAGTTAAAGTCGTACATGGTGAAAAGTCGGGTTGAGCCTCGGTGAGTGACTTCAAGGAGCAACCAAATCGAGATAATTGCTGAAAAGAGAAAGGCGAAATTATGGCAGTTTGTAACTTTGCAAATCCACTCTACCGCGTCCCGCAATGTCCACGAGCAGCAAATAATTTGTAATCGTCACAGTAAGCAGCCCATGTAAGCAAAAACTGAAAGAATTTGAAAACTATCTTCCATGTTACCTACTGTACCTCAAGCTAAAGCAGTTATAGTAGGCTGCTGCATGACGAAGACGCAATATCTTCGGGTGCGAACGCGGCCTTATTAGCCGCAGAGCGCATGAGGTGCTGGATTTACAGTGAGGATACGCATGCGTCGCGTTCGCGCACGCCCAATTAATACTGCTTTTGCGCCTTCGTCATGCACTAGCCTTTATGTATAGTCGCCCTCACCCCACTATCGGTCGGAGGACGAATTCAAATTTGAATTGGAGCAGGCCTGTCACGGCAGAGCGCGGCAGGAGACAACGCTCAGCAATCACAAAAACTCAATATAGGTCAAAAACGTTGTAACAATACAAAAACTGCTAAGCAATGGCGAAGAAATACGCAAAGTGAATGCGTGAATTTGATCGGAGAGCTCAGGTGCCGTGCTCTGCCGCGACCTGCCTGCTCCAGTTCGAATTCAAATTCGTCCACCGACCAACTAGTGGGGTGAGGACGTCTATAGGTATATACAAAGGCGTGCCATTCGAAGTAGCTGAATGGTAACCTTCAAAACTAGTCCACCGGAGACCTGATGCGAATATCTCGGTGAACTTCGGCGGAGGCCGTCCAAGGCAGCCGTCGCGATTCTTTTTTCACGAATAAGAGCGGCAATTCAGGAACTTCGCACCCCAGTAGCTGATCTGACCTCGTCATATAGATCCCTACTGTGTTTCAAGCCTCAAAGTACATATTTTGCACAAACTACATCGTGGTAGTGTAGGACCACAATTTGTTTCTAACGAATTCCAGCTTTTGGTGGAAACTACACCCAAAAACCAACTCGAACTTTTCTGCTTTCTGCCCTTACAAACAGGTGAGACCAGAATTGGCAACAAGTTTGCAAAGAAGCCTTCATCAATAACGCTATCGATAGATTTTCTTTTCGCTTTTTGGTAATGTTAGCAACTGAGTCTATAAATTAAGGCTGAAAAGGATACTTTATCGATAAACAATTACATGTATAACTCCTCTAAGACTGGTACCTATGGTCACAAATGGCTGCGAAGGGGTGGGAGAACGAAAGCCGCCAGTTTGGGCCGCCTCCGCGGACTGCTGGTCCTGGAACGACATGCAACAACAATGCGAAAGGACCAGTTGGCCGCGAAAGGCGGCTCAAACTGGCGGCTTTCGTGCCCCTACCCGCTGCGAAGAATGCGCCCCTGACTCAATGCAAATTGCCCTTCCACAAGAGATTTCTGTTAAGCGCGCACACCCCATAACCTCCATCGCCAAGTAAGCGACGCTGAAGAAAACAACTCCTTTTTGTGGGAGAATCACCAGAAACAAGTGCGTCCTTTGTTGGAATGATGCTATACCTGTCTAGTCGCATTTTTTCTCATATCTATGTTTCTTAATCCCATTGACAGGGAATTTAGCTTAAAAGAGAGGCGAGTTTGGTGGATAAACCGGAAGCAGCCCACTGTTCTCCTCCTAAGACGTTTACGAAAAGAGCTGCAGATTCAGTTTGTCAAAGGAGGAGTACTAGCATGCAGGTGAGGATTGTTAATTATTTTTTTTGAGTTTTTGTTGAACATTAGTTCGCGGCAGTATCTGCATCAGTTTTGGTGCCAGCTTCCGGCTTAAGTAGAGCGCTGTCACATCAATGCCTGGTCTCAACGGCATTAGAATAGCCTTCATTCATGATATGAATAGGTGAGAAGCTTTCAAAAGCATAAGTCCTGATATTGCCTATGAGAGATGGATGCGTGGTTCTTGCTTCTTTGCCCCTTTACTTCTCAATCTGATCACCATGATTGCTTTGCTGTGATGCAGTCAAGAATTGCTTCCTATAGTGACATAACAGAACTACTCCTTAGTCTAATGATCTAAAAGATTTCCATAAGCGGCATTTGATAGTGCAAAGGTCCTGGCTTCTATGTCTTGCACTTTTCTGACCAGAGTCGGAGTTTCAGTTCAAGAAAATAGAATAAATCTTCTGTGATAGTTTCAAGTCATTTAAACTCCGCGCATGCATAACGTTAAAGTCAGTTATCAAAGCGAAAGGCAGTTAATATCGTCGATTCCTCACAGTATAGCGGGCGGAGCTTTGCCGACGTTTGCCAACGTATGCGCGTGGCAGTTTTTGTAACTGGAGATTACAAACCAGTGCTCTAAAGTGGAGGTTCAACAAGTTTTCCGTGTTCAAAGGTCTGCAGGGCCACGCCCGCTATACGCATGGGAAACGCCTATACTAAACTTATGCATTCACTGCAAGCTTCAGAAGGGGACAGCTTTCAGTGACTTTGAAAACACTGCAAGCATTAAAGACAAGGTTTTCCCTGTTCATTTGCAGCTTTTCAATCGTCCAGCATCAAGAATTGGAAGGCTTGCTAACAAGGAAGCGTTATGAAAAGGTCCACGTATGCAAAGAAAAAGTCAAGGAAAATTTAACCATATCATATGTAGCGCAAATTTCATAGATTGTACTGTATTTGTATTTCTAGCTGAGATTGTAGCTTGAGCTGCACTGAACTCTCATGATTTTCTCAGATAAAGGAGTCGTTTTTCCCTTAGCGTCACCTATTCGCAGTGAAAGTTATGGGATGTGCGCGCTTCAACGACGAGAGTCCCTCGCGGAAGCGCATGCACTGGGTCATGGGGCGCGCTCCTCGCAGCCATTTGTAACTATAGGTACGAGTCTCCTCTAAGCGGTCTTACTCTTTCCACCCTTGTCATAAATCTACTTGACTTTACTGATATTCCACATTATTGTGGAACATCACCGGTACGCTAGCAAATAGTGCATGCAAAAAAGTCATAGAAAAATCAAGCGGTCCAGTTCTGCCTTTCCTGCATGCTCCAATAATCGTACGCTTGAAAGTCAGGACGAATTTGAAACACATAAGCGAATTAAGATTGGCATCTGAAACTTCAAAAAACTAAAAAAAAAACTAACAAGGGAAGCGTGTACAGTCGAAGTGGCTTTTTCAGATGAGACCCATGCTGCATGGAGAGTATTGCACAATGATTCAAAGTCTGCCCTCATTATCTGCCAAGCGCCTCTGGACGCCGACTTATGGGCGTTTTTCGGGTCAAAAATTCGAATGCAGAACTGCAGCAAAATCGTCCAAACTTGCTCAAATGGTCCAGTGTCAAGTACCAGAGCAGCTTATGCAATGGATACATTTTGTCTAGTATGCTAATACTTCTTAACATTGCTTCATTTGAGCGCTAGAAAGATTGTAAACTTTTTACCTAAGTTCTGCACTCATTTTTCGTTCCAAAAAACGGTCATAATTCGGCATATAGAGGCGCTTGGCAGATAATGAAAGCAGATTTGAGGCCACCGTGCAATCTTATATATGAAGCTGAATGTATGTTTGCCTGTATGTATGTCTGTCTGTACGTATGTTTCGAATAGAAAATTCCATTTCTGAACCGATCCGGACTAAACTTGGCACACATACACTTCGGCCGGCGGGCGGGTGTCATAGGCTACTTTTCGTCATCGATCGATATCGATTTTATCGATTTTTATCGGTTATTTTGCAGAGTTCACCTATGGGGCTGGGAGTTGGCACGGGGGGGGGTAAGTGATCATGGGGATTACGAATACAATATTAGTTTTCAGAATTATCGATTGCTTTTATGGATT